ATATTATTATAATTAATATTACTAATATTGATCATTATTATTGTTATTATAAATATTATCATTATTATTAACATTCAATGTTGCAGGAGATGCATGCCGCCCTTACGAGCCGTTCAAGTGTCCAGGAGACGGAATCTGCATCTCGATTCAATATCTCTGCGACGGAGCTCCCGATTGTCAAGATGGATACGACGAAGATTCGCGATTATGCACAGCTGGTAAAAATCTTTCGTCCCTTGATCGATTCTACCACTGTAGATACGCGTTAACAGTATTTTCCTGTCCATTTTTTTCTCTCTCTCTTTTTTTACAATAAAAATAATGTAGTACGTAGGTGTTAGCTTCTTGTTGAAAAGAAAAATTACTATGACCGTTGAGAGCAATTCAGGGAGCTTGTATAACGCGGCATTGAAAATAAGAACAAGGTTACGAGGAAGTTTCCATATGGCGTAGAAACGTATCGAGTTTCAGGTCGTATAGGACGTCTGATTTATTCTCGTTCTTAACTACTACTCCGACTACCTGTCTATTACGAGACTATACGATCACTAGGTCGAACTTATTTTCTACGTGTGTTCTTGCATTGATTAGTCCCCTCGTTCTCTAGCCGCAAAGTTGTGCAAATAAAAGAAAAAAAAAAAATGATCATTGTGTTATGCGTGTGTAGATACAGATATAACGGGTATAAGTAACTAGTTATATCTACAGAAGTAACTAGTAACTATAATTTCTAGAAAACTTTAAGTAACTACAGTAAGTAACTAGTAACTATAATTTGTAGAAAACTTTGCTCGAAGAAAGATATTATTACTATTAAAATACTAACGTATATGAACATACGTGACATAACATTAACATTATTGTAATTAATATAATATATAACAATGTAATTTTTGATCAATGCATTTTATTGCCTGTTCCAGCGAAGAGACCACCAGTAGAGGAAACTGCTAGTTTTCTGCAATCATTGCTGGCAAGTCACGGCCCAAATTATCTTGAGAAATTATTCGGAACCAAAGCGCGGGATACACTGAAACCTCTTGGTGGCGTGAACACGGTTGCTATAGCGCTTTCTGGTAATTATCACGATTCTAATACAAGAAATAAATCGATCTTCGGACATATATATCAAATTTGTAAACGAGTAAATTTTAAATTCATTTTAAATTAAGTCTAAAAAAAAGAAAAAAATAAAATAAAATAAATTTTCATTTTCAGAATCTCAGACGATCGAGGATTTTGGTGCGGCCTTGCATCTCATGCGCTCTGATTTGGAACATCTGCGCTCCGTGTTTATGGCGGTAGAGAACGGCGACTTAGGCATGCTGAAATCAATCGGCATCAAGGACTCGGAGCTGGGAGACGTGAAATTTTTCCTGGAGAAACTCGTGAAAACCGGCTTTCTCGACTGAATTGGCATTTACACGGGACGCCGTTGCGGAGGCGCCATAACATTGGCTGTATCGTATAACAATTGCACTATCCTGTCGCTTTGAGAAGTTCTTTGGCAAGTCTCCTTTCGCTCGAAATGATCGTCCCCTACCTACGTCTTTCTTTCCTTCTTCCATCCCTTTTCTTTTCCTCTTTTTGTCTCTCTCTCTCTCTCTCTCTCTCTCTCTCTCTCTCT